AATTAATTATCATGTAATAAACTACTTACTTTAATCTCGTGCATTCGGGCGGCGTAAATAATGGGATTTACCAAAGTTTTCAGGATAATAAGACCGTTAATTGTGGCGTAGATGAGGAACACGCCACGTGCCGACACCCCATTAAGTTGTAATACGCAGTCGTTACAAACCAGCATGTACATCATTACTCCAGGCATCCATCCGATTACGAAGCTTCCTTAGAAATTGCGTGAACGGTGAAATATAAATTTTGCGGGAAGCAAAAAATTAAATATATTTCAAGTTGCGTTTGCTATGAAACTCAATATAATTATCTATAAGTATCTCCGTTTTTCTTAATAACTGCGCAGCTTTTTCACTGTGCTGTCTTACCAAGTATGTATAAAGTTGTGTGGATGGCTTTAACGTTACGCGCCATTTGCCTAGAATTACTACGTAACGCTTCCGACGCTCTCGCACGAACGGAAGATCCCGTTCTGCGAAAGCGGAGCCTCGTGGCTTGATGTCTCTTCACTATGCAGAATATGTGAACGTAAATGCAAACCATCAGCGCGAAGGGCCCGAAAAAGAGGCTGCTGAACAACATCCGAAATTGCTTATAAGATAGGAATCTGAAAATTGAGATGTTTGTTCGATATATGTATATGTGTGTGTGTGTGTGTGTGTGCGTGTGTGTGTGCGTGTGCGTGTGTGCGTGTGTGTGTGCGTGTGCGTGTGCGTGTGCGTGCGTGTGCGTGTGTGTGTGTGTGCGTGTGCGTGTGCGTGTGTGCGTGTGCGTGTGCGTGTGTGCGCGCGCGCGCGCGCGCGCGCGCGTGTGTGTGTGTGTGTGTGTGTGTGTGTGTGTGTGTGTACCGGGTGGGGAAAAAGTCCGGGACCGGTGAAATATTATAAGACTTGAAAGCTTTGGTATTTTGACATAAAATACAAAATATCTTGTAAAACATTAAGTTTTCGGTAATGTTACCTTAACATTTTTATGCACAGAATAATGAGACGAATCAATTGGTATAAAAAAAGGCATAGTTGCTTTTAAGAAAAAGTATGCAGATGCGTGTTGCAAATTACATATTTTTTCTTCAAGCCTTATAATTCCAAAAGTTCTTAATGAAAAAATACTTTATTATAGTGTCTTGAAAAGCTCTCGAGATTAGCTACAAGAATATGCATTGAAAAATAGGGGTTTCCATTTAAGAAATTAAAGGTGTCGTTCACGTGAGCTTTAAACGACCATCCAAGGTGAAACCAATGGCACCATCTCATGTGCCCCTTCGAGCCAAACAACTTTTGTATAAAATGTTTTTCCTAAAATGTCTTGTTTTCGAGATATTTTACCGGTCCCGGACTTTTTCCCCACCCGGTATATATATATATATATATATATATCCCTATTCACTCCAACGTTTTTTTCGCCCCAATAATCCTCCAACCATGCACTTTCGAGTCCCACGTGTTTTTTATAATGTTAATAGCTTTGAAAAATTCCCCAAAAATTATTATAATATCTTTGTACCTTCGACTAAAAATCAATGTAAAGAACATTTGGAAATAATTTGTAACGATGCGCCTCTTTCGACAAAGCATCGTCCCCGGCTACCACCCGCCGGGAGCCGCCCGACCGATTCTCCGTCGGGCGAGGACAGGGCGCGGTGCGCCCACATTTTTTTAAACGCTTGAAACGCACCGTGTGCGCGGGAAATCCGCCGCACCGGTGCCTTCCCGCACGACGCCGACAAGCGCCGAAGCGAGCCGATCCCCGCCGAAGCGAGCACGCGGGATGCGGGATCGCGCCGCTCCCACCACCGCACCGTCGCCTGACGATCGGCCTCCCTCCTGCCAAGCTCACCGCGCCGAGCGGTATAAAAAGCCGGCGCGCTCGACGAAGAGACACTTCGTCTTCACCACGGCTCTCCGCTATTCCTGACGAAGCTACCTTTCGAATCCTAGGGTAACACGTACAACGAGGTCCAGAGTTCTGGTTCTCGACTGAGGGTTCTCAGAGTGTTCCCGAACTCCCTGACACTTACCCCGACGGCCACGGCACCGTGGGGTCGAGCGTGCTCGGCCTCGCAGCGAGGGTTCTCACGACCGTGACCCCGGGATTCCGCCATCCTCTGATGCAAAATACCGCGCTTCGTTGTATTAATTAGTTTCAGCATTTCGGCACCCCGGCACTGCCGATGATTCATATAGAATATCTAATTCGGTTCATATAGCATATCCGATATCTGTAGCCGCGTTCCGTATGTAATAGACCGCGTTCCGTTGTCGTCTTATATCTTTATTTTATGTATTAATTCCGTTAGTTCCGTTATCCGTTAGTTCCGTTATCGTCTATCGGTAGCCGCATTCCGTATGTAATATACCGCGTTCCGTATCGTCTTATACCTTTATACCGCGACGGACTCCGCTCTGTCAAATACCGCGCTGCGTTATTCCCGCCTCTGCGTACCGCATCTCGAGGCGAAGACTCGAGTCCCGATATTTCGTATACCGCGTCGCGTTGCACCGGCACTACCGACCACTGTAATCTACCGCGTCCAGTTTGTATGTAATACCGAATCCCGAGTA